AAGAAATATTCCGATATTTTTACTATGTGTGTAAATTTCCTGTTTTATATTGGGGAAGGAAACTTTTTGACACAAAGCCATTCAGGGAAACTTTATAAAAACGCACGTCTGAGCAGATCGAAGTGAACGCTGTTTCCTGTCTTGCACCCCAGCACAGTCCCACCAGCCACCTGCAGGCCCCGTGCCTTAGCTTCACCCGGTGCCAGTGGGGGCTGCCTTGGGCACCCGCAGGCCCCCGGGCCATGGGATGGCCGTCGCCAGCTGCTGTCCCTAGTGGCTTGTTCAGGAAGCTCAGTGTTGTAAAAAGGCTGCTGCCCTGGCCCAGGACCCTCTTAGCCAATATCACTGTCCCCAGCTGGGCCCTGGGGCGTGGGTGGGGGCAGGGGCTCCAGCCAGAGGGAGCTGGCCCCCTGGGGAGAGGGAGGGTGCCAGCAAGCTAGGGCCCTCTTCCTGCCCCTCGGTTCTCAGCTACAGGTGCCACACGTGCTGGATTCCCAGGGGTTGGGGGTCAGCCGCCGCCTACCTGTTGACAAACAGGCCAGGTGCTCAGGCGTGAACTGGCCTTGGCCTCCGACTACCTGCCCCGCTGGCTGCTGCTGAGGTGACGGGATCCGGGCAGAGCTCCAACGGTCCGTCCTGGCGGCCGTGGGCGAGGCCACCGACCGTCGTGCTCAGTACCACACAGCTTGGCTCCTGGACTTGAACTCTACTGTATTGTAACTTTTTAAGGAAACAACGCTGTATAGGACGATTCACTGCCATGCCAATCACGGGCGCCCGCCACGTTCTGTGGACCTCGAGAGCAGTGCCACCCACCCCGATACCTCTGCCGCCCGCAGGGGGCGCAGCCAGCCCTGGGCGCTCGGCTCAGACGTGGCGAGGGGGCTGCCAGGCTGGCCGCGCCATCTCTCCAGGGCACGTCTGAGCTGCGGTTGTGAGGCTGTAGGACCCTTTTTAATAAAGAATTGTTCGTAACAGCTGTGATGTGTGTGGTCTCAGAACATCGGTGGAGCTCACTGGGGCGTCTACTGGAGTTAAAAATAAAAGCTGCCCAGATGGCCCAAGTCCTGCCTTGTCCGGGGCCCCGGCCCTGAAGCAGGGCCTTTGTTCCTGCTTTAAGTCAGGAATTCTCGTAAACATCAGTAAAGGGCAGGAGGCGGCAAGGGTCTCGGGTGGCTCTGGGGTCCAGGCTGCCCTGTCAGGACCTCGGTCCCTTCCTGGCTTCTGTCCACAGGGTCCCCTCCCCACCTCATGCTGCACAGCTGGTGGAAACTAAGACAGTCTTGCCTGTTTCACATGATAGAGGTCAGTTGCTTTTTTAAATTTAAATTGATTTTTAGAGGAAGAGAGAGAGAGAGAGAAACATCAATGATGAGAGTCACTGATCAGCTGCCTCCTGCACACCTCCTTCTGGGGATCCAGCCCGCAACCCGGGCCTGCGCCCCGACCGGGAATCGAACTGATGACCTCCAGGTTCGTGGGTAAATGCCCAAGCCGGCTGGGCAGTGCTAACATTTTGCTCTGGGGACTTGCCGACGGTATTTAAAGGGGCCCCACCAAGCTGAGCCGCGCCAGGGGCCCTCACTGCCTGCTGTCCCGGAGCTGCATGTTGGCCTGATGCCCTGGGAGGGGCTTTGCTCCGTGGGTGGGGACACAGAAAGCACCCACAGCAGCCCTGAGCTCACCCACCTCGGCCCCTGCTCGGGACACCACTCCCTGCGCAGCCGGGTGCCGTGAGGACCCGTGGGAGACACTCCTGGGGCTTTCCTGAGAGAGCAATTTGCACCTTTTTTGTTGAGGAGAATTTGTATCTGGTTTCTCTTTTCCCATTGGCTGCTAGGGAACTTGCAGCCAGAATCACAGTCGGCCCGGCTCCTCCCCAGCCTCCTCCTGCCCTCTGGGCCTCCGGGCCTCCGGGCCTCCGCTCCGGGAAGATCCGGGGAGCAGCAGCACCTGCCCCGAGGCTTCTCCTGCGTGGCCTCCGGCTCCAGTGTCCCCGACTCACACCAGTGCTCACTGGCCTGTACCGGGGGAGGGAACCAGCGCTTCAGTCTTTTCTCCAGCTGTTTTCCCTCGGGGACAAGAACAGGCGTCGGCCGTAAACAAAGAAGGCGATCTTACCGTTCGCGACAGCGCGGATGGGCCGAGAGCATGACGCTAAGTGAAACAAGCCAGTCGGGGAAAGACAAGCATCCCATGACCTCACTCCTGGGATCTTGCGAACAAAATAGAATCAGATAGAGACTGACAGCTGTCAGAGGGACAGGGTTGGGGGGCTGGGTGAGGGGATTAAGAAAACAAAAAACAGAAGCCCCCACAAAACTACAGAGCCCTGGCCTGTTTGGCTCAGTGGTTAGCGTGTCGGCCGTCGGTCCGAGGGGTCCCGGGTTCAATTGCTGCCAAGGGCATGTTCCTCGGTTGCAGGCTTGATCCCTGGCCCTGGTCGGGGCACGTGCAGGAGGCAACCAATTGCTGTGTCTCTTTCACATCAATGTTTCTCTCTCCCTCTCCCTCCCACTCTCTGAAAAGCAATGGAAAAAAAATCACTGGGAGAGAATTAAAAAAAAAACACCAAAAACCACCTGAGACACAGACGACAGTAGTGATGACTAGCGGGAAGGGGGCGGGGAGGTAGGCGAGGGTAAAGGGGGGATAAGTGGTGCTGGAAGGAGGCCTGGCTTGGGGCGAACACAACGCAGGATACAGGTGATGGTGTGAATTGTACACCTGAAGCCTGTATAATTTCATTACCCAATGTCCCCCTAGTAAATTCAATGAAAAATTTTTTTTAAGAAAGAACAGGCAGGACCCCCTCCCCTTTTACGGAGATTAGTTTTCAAAGCACTTCACACCTGCCCACCTGGACCTCACGGTCACCTGGGGGAGGCAGAGCCTACTTCGCCCTTTAGGAGACCGAGCGCAGGGCGTGGACGGGCCGGACGAGGGAGGCCACACAGTTCTGCCAGCTGGGCCGGAGCCACCCAAGCTGACCTTCCCTCCCCACACCTGCACTGTCCTTTTGTTCCAAGTGCTGCATGAGGCCAAGGGCAGTGCCGGAAGCCTTCGTCTCCCGGGAAAGGGCGCAGGGGTGCTCAGCTGTGAACTCGGGGACCTGGGCTCCCGCGAGGTGGTCAGTAGGAAGGCTGTGCGGCCCACATCAGTCAGGGACCCTCCCTTTCCTGAGAGGCGAGGCTGGCCACAGGCTGGGGGAGGGGATCACGAGCCATGGGGGCTGGGAACCAGGCCTCCCTAACAGCCCGGACGACACCTGGCAGGACCAGCAGCACTTGCCAGGTTTGCGGGGTTCCAAGGGCCGTTGTCACCTGCCGAAGCTAAGTGGGTCCCACCCCAGGTCCTGGCCCCCCAGAAATGAACAGCCGAGGCGAAGCCCCTCACGGGACACTGGTGACTACAGTCCAAGTGTTTTATTGCCAGTCAGACTCCAGCATAAGGAAACACTGCACTCCCGGCCGAGAGCTGGAGCCTTTCCCTCTTCCCCACGTGGCCGGTCCTGCGCGGCAGGGGCGGGTTCGAGCAGCCGCCGGTCGTTTCCTCGCAGCCCTGGCCCCGCCCCACCCACCGACCACACCGAGCTGGGTCCACGGCTCAGCGAGTTCATCCAAGCCCTGCGAGCAGGCAGGGCAGGCGGGGCGGGGCCGGGCCTCCGCGCGGGCGGAGGGGCTGACTCCTCCGTGGAGCACGAGGCTCCCTGGACCTGGAGGAGGGCGGGCGGCGCCAGGCGGCCTCAAGCTTCTGGCTGAGCTGGCGACCATCCCGCGCAGGTGGAGGTGGGCAACGGGAGCGGCCAGGGCAGCCAGACGGGATGGACAACAGGAAGCGGGCGGCCCCAGGTTTCATCAGGAAGGGGCTCCAGGAGGGCAGCGCCTGTGCCCAGCAGGTGAAGGGCTCACGGCCGCGCCCGGCCCGCAACAGCACCCCTCCTGCCTCTCCCCCCGGACAAGGGCCGCATGGTCCTCAGTGTCCCCTCACTGGTGCCCTAGAGCGCGGCCGAGGAGAAATGGGCGACCCCAGCCCACTCCAGAGCATCCTGCTTTGCATAGGGTCCCGTCTCCATGGAAACAGTGTCCCAGACCACAAACCCAGGGGACAACTCTCACAGTCCCGACAGCCAGCAGGAACTGTGTTCTTTCCATTCACCTCTCACCTCAGACCCCGAGTCCAAAAGGCAGGGGAGGCCCTGCCCAGACCCCCAGCCCAGCCCCATGGCCTTGCTTCCCAGTGTGCAGAATACAAATTCACAAAGAAGCGTGCTAGCTGGAATAGTACAAATGCTCTGTATTTCCTAAACCGAGGCTCAGGCCCACTGGGGACTGGCTGCTCTCAGTTCCTGCTGCAGATAAGTACATCCAGAACTGCCCCACCAGCCCTGAGTGGCCCAGGTGCATCCCGTGGGCTCAGCAAGGACTGGGGGCCTCGGGGACACTGATCCAGGCCGTGGGGCAGGCCTGGGCACCTGGTGTGGGGACCGCGCCCCTCAGAGCCTCCTTAACCGAGTCAGGGGGGCCACGTGAGGCCCAGGCCGGCCCATCAGCCTCTCGCTGGACCCCTCCGGAGCCTAGGAGTTCACGAGTTGAGCCGGGCAGACACCATCCTTTTTGTCCTGCTGCGGGGGTCAAAGATGAGAGGCTCACTGGACATGGCAAGGAGTAGGTGACCCAGCTCAGGTCCTCCTGCACCTTCCCCTTGAGTGAGCTGAGCCCCACCCCCCGCCCGTGTTGCTGGGGCAGCATTTTTGCTCTTGCTGGTCAGCATTTCTGACCTTCCAGAGGCCCTGTGTCCCACAGACCTGGGAGCACTGGCCAGGGAGCCCCTTCCAGGGCCCCTCCCCATCCCAGCACTGACGCCTGGCACCCAGTGGTCCTACCTGGTGGTCTTGCCTGGGGACCACACTGGGCTTCTGGGCCAGGGGTGGCTTCTTGGAGGTCCCACCGCCATAGGTGGGAGCACTGGGCTGGCCAGGCTCCTCCTCGCCGGGTGTCCCCACCCCCACGGCCAGCGCGTAGTGTTGCTTCCGCAGCTCCCCCAGCCGCACGCGCTCTGCCTCCAGCGTCTTCTCCAGCTCCAGGACCCGAACCTGCAGGCGAGCACCACTCAGCACACCCTGAGGCCTCTCCCCGGGGAGTCCTCCTGCCCTTTGGGAGCTTAGCCCTGGGAAAGGGACAGGCTCGGAGGCTGGCCAAGCACCTGGGGAGCAGGTGGCTGTGGGGTCCGATGGGCACCTACCTGGGTCTCCATCTCCTGCTTCTTCAGCTTGATGAGGGACAGGCCGGAGAAGTCCATGGTGTCTGTGGACAGAGCGCGGTAAGTGCCTGGGCCCCACCCCCACCTCAGCCCCACCACTCCCGGGCCCCAGCCTGACGTCACCTCGGTCTTCGATCTGCTCTTGGCCTGACTTGGTGGAGGCCACCACGTTAGCGGCCATCACATTGACCGTGCGGGAGCACTCCTGCAGGCGGCCCAGGTGGCGGCTGTCCTTGTTGGCCTTCACCTGGGGGAGCGTGGGGGCGGGTCAAGGTGGGCCCCCTGGGATCACCCCCATCCTGAGGTCGCCGGCCACATGCAGTGCATCCCCCGCAGCTGGGAGTTGGGGAACCTGAGCGGAGAGCCTCACCTTGGAGGCGGCCACCAGCTGGGCGGTGCTGGCGGCGATCTCGTGGGAGCAGACGATGAGCTCCTCGTACTGGCCAGTGTGCAGCACCACCCTGTCAGCGGACTCCCTGCGGGCAGGGGCAGGGCCTGGGTCTCCAGCCCACAGAGAACCGCCACCCCCACACTCCCTCCCCAGATCCCCAGACCCTGGGCACCACATTCCCTGCTGCCCCCCACCTGGGGCCACATACACCAGCTGCGTGGCTCCCCAGCCCACGGCCTTGGAGGCGGAGATGAGGCCTTCAGTCCACCGCGAGTTCTTGGCGTAAAATTCCTGCGGCGAGGCTGCCCCCTAGTGGCGACATGAGGGAAGTGACGGGCAGACCCGTGGATGGCATCACAGGTGGCAACATGCTCCCGGGGAACTTCTCCCTTCCCGCCAGCCACAAAGGCGCACCCCTGGGCTGTGCTGGATTCAGCTGTGGCTCCCAGGCACGTGTACACCACGGGGTCTCATCACCACGCACGGGGGGAGTGGTCTGGGACGAGGGGGGCGCTGTCTCCTCCTCGCTGTCAGCTGTACCCTGCCCACCCGGAGGCCCAGCTCACCCTGCCGCTCTCCACGATCTCCTTCTGCAGGCTGGTGGATGTCGTCACCAGGAGCCGGATGGCCTGCCAAGACCAAGACACATGTCACCCTTGGGGCCGCCCTCTCAGCTACAGAGTCTACCACCCCTGGGGTCCCGCTGGCCACTCACCTTCATGAGGTCTGTGCAGGACTTGAGGATCCTATTGGGGGGGGGGAGTGAGAGCTGCAGTGTGGCCCCAGAAGCCACGGGGAGAGATGGGGTCAGGGAAGGGCGGGAGCAGGGCGCCAGCTGGGCCTCTGACCTCTTGTATGGACAACCCTGGGCCTGACACCGGGTGCTAGACACCGTGGGCCCATAGGGCAGGGGGTGCACTGCTCACACCCTGGCTTCTGGAGAGCTGAGCAGTCAGGAGGGCAGCCCCCTGGCTCTCGGAGGTTATGGGGAGCCTGCCTCGTCCTGGGCCTGGGGATGAAGTGGGCTCACCTCTCGTTCACCTCCAGTTTCACCCCCGAGCTCGCGTGGCGGGCCTGGTTCATCATGTCCTGCACCAGGGACAGTCGTGAGTGGGCGGGGAGGAGGGCAGGGGGAGGAAGGGGGCTGCGGGTGCTAGGCACAGGCCCTGGGAACAGCCACTGAGCCGGGGAGGGGCGGGCTCGGCTCAGGTCGACACACTGTCCTTGGCAGAGGTGGGTGCTGCCTGCATGCAGCCCACCCAGCCCAGGGCTCCTGCAGGAATGCATCCCGGTCCTACCTCAATCCTCCGCACTGCCTCCTCGATGGCCGAGGATGTGGCTGCCATCTCCTTGTCCACCATGGCCCCGAGCTCCTCCTGACGCACATCCAGGCTCTTGGGCTTTAGCTCCTGGGGGAAGAGGGCACCCGGGGGGTCAGACAGGGTGCATTCAACCCCCGCCATCCCGTGGGGAGCCTGGGAAAGAGGCTGGGGCAGCAGGGGGTTGCTCTGTCCCCAAGCACCCATTCAGTCCAAACTAGAAGATGCAGAGAAATTGGGGACCCAAACCCCACCCCAGACCCACTGACCCCCAACAGAGCCCGGCCCACGCTCAGTGCCCCGGCTGCACCCTCACCTGGCCCAGCTGAAGGATGCCCTGCAGGGGGGTCCGCACCAGGCCAGGCTGGGCCTGCTGCACAGCCTGCTGGTCCTGCAGCTGCCCCACGAGCTCCAGCGCCCGGGCCCCACACTCCCTGCAGGCGTCAATCAAGCCTAGGGGGAGAGGGCTGTGAGGGGAGCTACGCCCGAGAACCCTGGGAGGAGCCCCCACACGGGCCCCTGCCCAGGGCCCGACACCAGAACCTGTCTGCGGCCCCCACCCTGCCCTGGTCCACTGTGAGGACATGTGTGACACAAACCCAGCCACTTACGGTCAGCAGGGTCGGTGGGGGCCAGGTGGGAGGTGGCACTGCCATTGACGATGGTGTCGGCAGCCAGGTGGGAGAACTGGGTCAGGGCTGCCACCAGGGCAGAGGCATCTGTGGTCAGGGAGAGGAATGAGACCCTAACGCTGCCGCCACTGAGTGAGTCCCAGCCAGTGCCCTAAGCAGGAGCCAATCTCTCCGCCCAGCAAGCCTGAGACAGGTCCCCGTGCCCCAGTCCATGGAGGAAGAGCAGGGCTCAGAGGGGAGGACACACTGGGCCAAGGTCTCGCAGCTAGGAAACATCAGAGCAGGAACCAAACCCAGGTCTGTGACCCCAGGCCCGCAGGGCAGGGCTCCCAGGTGGGCATGGGTGGGAGAGCACTTGCTCAGCTTCCTGAAGAGGTACCTGTGGTGATGGGAAACCACCCCAAAGGCAAGAGGCAGCCAGGGACAGTGGACCCAGCACCCATGTGCCAGCAGCCTCTCCCTGCCCAGTCCGGTCCCCAGCACTCACCTGACCTGGAGGTCAGGTACTGAGCGTGGCCCGTCTCCAAGGAGCTCACGGCATCCAGGGCTGCCTGGGCTCTGCTCACCAGGTAGTCTGCAAGCACAGGGAGGAGGCGTGAGGGGCAGAGCCTCAGGGTGGGGGAGCACCTCCCTGCCAGCCGGTCAGGAAAGGAGGTGGCCGAGTGCCTCGCCAGAGGCCCTACCCGGGGAGCTGGTGCAGCGCAGGTGCAGGGGGTCGTCCAGCTTGCCCACGGCGTCCTGCAGGATGCGCTCGGCCTCAGCTGCAGTGCGCCGCAGCACCGAGAACTGCTCGTCTAGGAGCCTCTGCTGCAGCCCCTGCTCCTGAGACTCCTGGGG